GAATGACTTTGGATTTCTCGGTGAAAGGAAAACTCAAGATCCGCATGGACGACTATGTCAAGAACATGTTGGAAGATTTTCCTATCAAGGTCAACAAGGATTCAAAGCAGGAAACACCAGCTGGTAAGTCGGGGTGGTCGGCCTCCAGTTGCATACTTTGATCCAAACTTGCCTCATCCAGGAAAAACTATCTCTAAGTCAGGTTTCACTTTGACTTTCATTGGTGGTAGTACTGCCATTGGACAAGATTTGCCGCCTCATCTTCAATTTCCAACAACTGCAACTGCTCCTGAACGAATGAAGTTGAATTCTGAAATTGCAGTTCACCTTTGCCATGCACTTGGTCAATGGGGGCTGCCTGGTGTCAAAGCAATGCCGGTGGCAGTGGGCATGAACCAAAAGGGTGGAATGGACGACGAAGAGTTTGCAAAGTTTGTACAAAATTCAATCATGCCACTGTAACCCGACAGTCAAGACATTCCAGGCAAACGGGTCCTCATGAAAGTTGACAATGGTCCTGGAAGGAACCAAATAGAAGCCCTAGCTCAGCTTCGCAATAATGGAATCTATGTCTTTCTTGGTGTCCCAAACACTACCAGTGTGTCACAAGAGACGGATCAGAACTGTGGAGTATTCAAGTCAATTTATAGGGAGAATCGGGAGAAGATGGTAAATGACCAAAATCTGATGCAAAAGCCCACAAATCTTTCCCTTCCTGTGATTGGGATTCTCATCTTTGGTGGAACTGATCCCGTCACGGGAGAAAACCATTTTTGTAGCGCTTTTGATGAAGCCTTTAGCAAGGAGAAGTGCCTTGGCGCTTGGGCAAAGGTTGGCGCCGCACCCTGTACAAGGAAGTGTCTGAACTCTGCAAAGGTTTGCCACCAGCTGGGGGATGACTTGGACCCAATGGCCACCATGTACAAGGTTATACAACAACAGAACGGCCAACATGGATTTACGCAACAAAAACCAGATAAGGTACTCAACATAGGTTTGTTAATGAATAGGACCCTATGCTTGTAATATGTTGGACCATTGAAATAGGCAGTTTATTTTCCCAATTGTGTCCCAACTTTTGCGCGTAGCTCGTGGTACACGTTCTACATGTTAACGGACATAATTGGTCTCAATCTCGTACCGCAGCTGCAGAATGATCGAGATGCCATCTGCCCTTCCGGACCTGGATGCAAACTCAGCAGACCGCCCCAGAGATAGAAGCCTTCCTCTTTGAATACCTGAAGACCGTCCGCCAGCCTTCCTTGGGAGTCCCCACCGCCCAAGTCTGGTCCCGCCGTCCTCATGTCTTCCAAAGTGCCAACTCCTCCCAAGCCAAGCTTGGGGCCCAGGGCCTCCTTGAGGGCCTAGTGTCCCACAAATGGAAACACCTTTAAGCCCTTCACTTCTCCTACATTGGCTCCAAGAAGTCCGCCAACATTTGGGCCTCTCACCTGATCCAACAACTGATCTGGATCAGGCACTACATGTGGAAAGACCGCAATCGGCTTGCACATTCTGAATATTGGCATCCGCGAACAGTTTGCAATGGGCCTGATTGATATCCCCCCACGATCCCAGTACCTCTTTTGTGACTCCCACAAAACTGTCCTCAACAAATCACTCAAAGATTGTCAACATTGGCTGCGCCTTGTTGCCTGTGAGAGAGCAATCAACCGTCACTCTCTAGCCAGGTAACGCCAGGCAACCCGCCAACACGACATTGACTTGGCCAACCGGCGCAAGTCCATAAACAGTCAAATGTCTTGGCTATCTCTCTGCCCCCTCTATGTTTCACTCTCCCTCTGTCGAACACAGAACTAGGGAACCGCAGTCTGTCTAGTAGATGGTGGCCACATTGTTCTGCAACACTGTGCCATTGGGACGCTCTCCATTCACTTGGATCAATACCCATGGCAGTAGGGCGCAAGAACAATTGGCTTCTCACCTGCCATACAATCATGCCCACCACCACATATCCGATACGAGCAACTTCCTTGGGATTGGATGCCTCAAACTGGTTCAACAGTACTGGACTCCCCTCCATATGGTAAATGATGGCCACAACAGCACTCCAATGGTGGTCCAACGGGGTCCGCCTTACTGGTGGCGCCATCTGACCGGATAAATCCTTTTGGTATCTGATTGACTTCAAGTGGAATGGGCAACAAGGGGTCTTTATCTATTGTTTGGAATTAAGAAGTCACATGGTTCTTGGTCACTCTCGACAAGGTGATGACTGTGGTGCCAGTTGGATTTCCGGTAATACGAAAGATATCTCGCATCTGGCTGATTTTGGTATCTATGATTGGTGTTCGGCTTTGTCCCCGACACACTCCAGTCAAGAGAATAAGCAATTGTGTCGTTGGCTTGGACCCAGCTTTAATATTGGTGGTTCTCTGTGTTTTGCATGTGCCACTTCTCAAGGAAAAGTTTTACAGCGTTCAAGTGTGATTCCCCTCTCCAGAGAAGAGCAGGATAGTACAGATATCAAGGATCTGAAAAAGCGTTTTACCGAAGACTTACATAACTGTTTGAAAAACTCTGACCCCATCAAGATTGATGATTTACAGGATCCTTTGGGTGCTTACGAAGCTGATGAAAAGTATATCAGGCCTCTGCACACAAATGCTAACATTCCGCACTTTGAACGATATGAAGATGATGAAATGTTGCAGCATGAAGAGCTTTTTGAAGTAGCCCCATCTGAAGAAGACGATCAAGTGGAATTTGACAAATATGTAGGTGTTAAGATCCGGAAAAATGAAAATGGTATTGACAAATTTGGGGTTGTTTGTGGAAGAAGAAGAAGAGCAGATGGCTCGATGGTTGGTTTGTATCATGAGAAGCCTGTCTTGGACACTTCTATTTATGAAATCGAATGGCATGACAGTGAAACTGAATCCTATCGTGCAAATGAAGTTATTGAAGCAATTATGATGAATGTTGATGATGACGGTAATAGTATCCTCCATGTGAAAGAATTTATTGATCACAGGACGGATGGCACACGAGTCCATGCTGATGATGGTCTTGTCATGGTAAAGAATAAGAAAGTTCCTCAAAGAACTACAAAAGGGTGGTATCTGTGTGCTCAAATTCATGGTGATGAGACAGAATGGATTGATTTGAAAACGGCAAAGGAGGCCTATCCAATTCAGGTGGCCGAATATGCTGTTGCTAACAAACTTGTATCTGAGACTGCTTTCTCTTGGTGGGTTCCTTATACTTTGAAGAAGCGTGATCGAATTCTAAAGGCTGTGAAAAGAAGAGCCTTAACTCGCAAGACTGAGAAATTTGGTTTTGAATTGCCTGGTTCTGGTCCAAAAGGCGTGAGACGTGCCTACAAGATTGACGCCAACACTGGTAGCAATCATTGGGGAAATGCTATTGATAAGGAAGTTAAGACGGTGTTGCCTACCTTAAGAATCTTGGGACCAAATGAACCTGTTCCTCCTGGATATACTTGTATTGATTTGATGACTGTGTTTGATGTTAAAATGGACCTCACACGAAAGGCCCGGATATGTGCAAGAGGGGACCAAACTGATCCTCCTCTTTTGGTAACATATGCCAGTGTTGTCACTCGTGAGAGTATTTGTATTGGATTCTTGCTGTAAGAATAAAGCAAAATGTGCTCTATAGTGAGTGCCTTTAGCGCTCAGAACAAACTCTCTGCAATCTAAATTTGTAATCGACTGTACAACACTTTCACGACAATAGTTCTCCTGTGTTAGGTATACTTTGAGTGAAATTGTTCCTATTTGATTA